CAACCCTAAATGTCAAATTTGTGCGTGTAACACCACTATTTATAGTTAAGTCAAATTTTTTTATAAAAAATAAAAATAAAAATAAAAAAAAGCATAATTTGAGAGAATTCAAGGGATTTATAAAATTTATTTTGAGTTTTATTTTGATGATTTGAATGATTTATTTTATATGACCTTTCGTTGTAGATCTTACAAAATAAATTATTCAAATTTAAGAACAAGACTCCATTGTGGATCTCGCAAACTCTTTAAATTCTCTCACATTCAAAGCCCAACCCTTATAGTTATTTGTAAATTGTGGTCCCTTTTGGGAGTATAATAAAAAGTTACTTTTTAACTTTTAATTTATTTAGAGTCATATTACTTTTCTAATTATTTATATATTTTTTTAAAAAAATCAAAGAAATTGAAAAATTATTTTTTAACCAACTTTCCAAAATAACCCTATATATCAATTAAAATCGAGTGTAATATTAAGAATAGAACATCCGATTTTACAATTCATTCTAAATTAATTTTTGAAAAATATTAGAAATTCTAAAAAATTTATCAAAAATTTTATCAAATGTCTTATATGAGTTTATGACCCATACCATGTAGGTCCAAGTTTTATCAAAATTTTTATCAAATGTCTCACATGAGTGTGAGACCCACACATCTGAATCCCATGTCGGTTCACACTCATTTGACAAGTTTGATAAATTTTTTTTTAAAATTTCTAACATTACTCCTAATTTTTGCCAAATACTAATATATAAATAGAAAAATACAATAGATGATGTGACAGAGAGTTATGAGTCTTTTATTGTAAAACAAATGACTCAGCAAAATCCTTCTTAACACAAAAATATCATTGATTCTATCCGGAAAAGAAAAAAAAAAAAAAAATTTGCACTCTTACCTTATTCTAATAAATGATTCTATTTAAAAACTAAAAAAAAAAAAAAAATTCTTCTATCACTAAATTGTAATCCACACAAGAAGCGTGAAACTCTTTCAAGATTTCAAAGATTTGCATAGCATGTTAGAGCATCTCCAACGGTGTACCAAATATTTCATCAAATCTGAGTCAAAAATGGTTCATTTCCTTAATTTGATACTTCGCGCTCCAACGGTTCAACATCAAATCCGTTTCATCAAATTTGCGCTGGGCAACCGGTTGGTTGACCGGCCGGTCGACCGGCCGGTCAACCGGTAACGGCAATTTTTTTTTTTTTTTTTTTTTTTACCGGTTTTAACCTTTTTTTTTTGAACTTTTTTAACTTTTGGTGGTCGACCGGGTGGTCAACCGGCCGGTCGACCGGGTGGTCGGCCACCTAGGCAAAAATTTTTTTTTTTTTTTTTTTAGTCGTTTTATGAGATATGTGGTTGGTAGTTATGAGATATGTGATGTTGGTTATGACTCAAAGGGGTTGGTTATGAGATATGTGATTATAGTTATGAAATATGTGATATTAGTTATGAAAAAAATGGTGTTGGTTATGAGATGTAATTATGAAATATGTGATATTAGTTATGAACAAAATGATGTTGGTTATGAGATGTCGTTATGAAATATATGATATTAGTTATGAACAAAATGGTGTTGGTTATGAGATGTGGTTATAACTAAGTTATAATCAATTTGATTATAGTTATGAAGAAGAAAAATGACTTAGACCCCCAGCTGGGGGTGCTGGGGGTCGTCCCTGATTGGTGCAAAAACTGTTTTTTTTTTTTTTTTTTTTTTGGATTTCGGCCAACCACACGCTGCCACGTCACTGGGGGTGGCACTGGGGGTCGTCCGTACTGGGGTCCGTAGCATTGGTGCATATCCAAAATAGCTGTTATGAATATTGTTTGAAGAAAACGTTACAAATGATATATTCATTTTAATTTTTTGTTAAAAAAAAATACTATATATCACTAATTTTTTTAAAATCTCCCATACGTATTACGGTTTGTGTGAATATTTATAAATAATTTTTTTTAAAAATAATTATTACAAAAATAAATATAAATAATATCTTACAATATATTCAACAAAATAAAATAATTAAAAAAAAAAATTTGAGACACCTAATTTATTACATCTAAAAATCATCCCTAATAATATGTTTAATAAATATCAAATTTTAATTTATTAAACCTTCTATTATCTGGGTGTTTGGCAAGTTCAATTTGGAAGATTTTTTGACTATCTCGTTTGGTAGTATTACTTTTTAATTTAAAAGTCAAAAAATTATTAAAAAAATTAAAAAGTCAACAATTTATATAAAAAAGTCAAAGATTTTTTTTTCTTCTACTTTTTACACATTTTTTAGTAAAAAAATTAAAAAGTCATACATACTATTTTTTTACATCATATTTTAGTCAAAAAACTAAAATATTACTAAAAAACCTGTTCAGAAAAAATCACAAAAAGACAAAATAAGTTAAAATAGTCAATAAGACAAAATGTCACATCAAATTTATAATCATTTTACTTTTTTTTCTCACAAATATCACATCCAACTACCAAAAAATTCAATCATATTCTCAAACACAAAAATTTTAATTTTTAAAATAGTCAAAAACTAAAATAGCTTAGTAAAATAATCAACTTCTCAAACAAAGCCTATATGAAATCTAATCTCAATATCACAATATTAGGAGTGATTTAAAAATGATAAATTAGAAGATGTATTCAATGTGTTTGATTTCAGTTTTCTGAAAATTAGTTTTTTGTTTTTCATATTTTTTCTTTTTAGTGAATATTTTTAACATTTTTAGTAATTATTTTACTTTTTTAGATGCATCTTACTTAGATGTATCTAAATAGTAAAATGCTTATAAAAAAATATTTTAAAAAATTAATAAATATACAAAAATGCAAAAAATGTATTGAATTTTGATTTTTTTTTGTTTTTTAATATTTAGTGAATTTTTTAAAGATTTTTTTCGTAAATATTATGCTTTTTAAGTGTATTTATGTTAAGTGTGTCTAAATTTTTTTTAAAAAATTACTTAAAATATTAAAAAAAATTATTGAAAAAAAAAATGACAATAAAAAAATAATTTTTTTTAAAAAACATTTTTTAAAAATTAAAACCAAACAAGCTTAATTATTTTTTTATTTGGTTACACAAGCGTCACAAAAGCTTACGTTAGCTGTCCTGTTCCTCCAAATATATATACATCAATAGGCATTATATTTCAGCAATATATATATACATCAATAGGTAGGTATTATCACGACGTATTTCAGCGATAGTAAATATATATATATATATATATATGTTGTTTGAGAAATGTTCGAGAGCTCCAAATTAAGAGTGCTGAAAGTTTTATTGTGTGTGTGAGTTTTATACGATGTGATGTTTTGATTTTTTGATTTTTTTTTGATTTTTTTTTTTTGATTTTCCAGCTCCAGTAGAGCTCTAAATTTAAGAGATGTAGTATTATTGTAGGTTGTTTATTATTTTCTAAACACTTATCATAAGATTGTAGGTTGTTTATTATTTTCTAAACACTTATCATAAGAGTAATGTTAGAGACTCCAAATATTCTATCAAAAGTTTTATCAAATGTCTCAGTGGGACCCACACAATGTGGGTCCCATGTAGGTCCCACACTTTGATAAAACTTTTGATAGAATTTTTAGAACCTCTAACATTTTTGCTTACCATAAATATAGTAAATTTTATTATAAAGTCACTCACCTATTCCATCGTTAAGCGAGATTTTGAAATTCATTAACATATATATTTATGAGTAATGCTAGAGATCCCAAATATTCTACCAAAAATTTTACCAAATGTCTCACATGAGTGTGGGACCCACTCATGTGAGACATTTGGTAAAACTTTTGGTAGAATATTTGGGACCTCTAGCATTTTTGTATATTTATTATTTAAACAACATATATATTATGATGTTAATTTTTTTATTATTTATTTTTATTATTAGTTATGTAATGTTTTAAAAAGTTAGTAAAAAGTTAATTTTTTAACTTTTTTTAGTCTATTTTATTTTTTTGTGAGTAAAAATATGAGAAGTAATGTGATTCAAAATGAATAAAAAGTTAAAAGTTAACTTTTTATTTTGTTCCCAAAACACCCATGTTTGGCATCTCTTAAAATATTCAAAAAATCACTATCATACATCACCCTTTTATCACATCACTTCAAATTTAATTCATATTTCATAAAAAAATTTAAAAATACACTTATTTAAAATATCTCAAACCAATATCACATATCCCATCCGCTAATGATAATAAAAAATATTACATAATGGTCTCGTTTGGGAAGTGGCTATTTTAGTAGGCTATTTTAGTTTTTGGCTATTTTAGTAGGCTAAAATTTTTGTGTTTGGGAAGATGATTGGATTTTTTTGTGATTGGATGTAATGTTTGTGAGAAAAAAAGTGAAATGATTATGAATTTAATGTAATATTTTGTCTTATTAGCTATTTTAGCCTATATTTTATCTGCTTACAAAATTTATTCAATCCCAGACACTTTCAACGAGCAAGGATCCTCTAGAGTAATTTTTCCCTAAAGTTTCCTAGAGTGTGTGGTTGAAATTTACTGGCAAGTCACATCAATTTTTCTAATGTGACTTACCAATAAATCTAAATCACACAATATAGCACTCTAGGAAACTTTAGAAAAATTTCACAATCCTTGTGACTTTCAACTCCCTCATCCCTCCCCAGACACTTTCAACTCCGTCATCCCTCTCTCTAGAGACGCTCTTTCTCTCTCTTAAAAAAAAAAAAAAAATTGTAGAGAGATAGAGAGAAGGCCAAAGGCAAAGCCACCTGTTCTTCCTGCATAAACCATCAACAAAAACCAAACACCACCTGTGATCAATTTGAGATAGATAGCTAACCCAAAAACCCTACTTCACTTTCTCTCTCATCCTCGTCTCTCATCTCTCATCTCTCATCTCTATCCCTATTTCCAACCCTTTTCCTCCAATTTGGTTTTGTTATCTCTACCCTTCAATTACATATACATACACAAACAAATAGAAGAATCACTCTTTAAGATCACCCAAATCTCAAAAACCCCAACTTCTTTCTCCTCTCTCTCTATACATATAGAGAGAGAAAAATTGTTGTGTGTGTACTTTTTGTTTGTTTGTTTGTGGGTTTGGTTTGGGTGGTTTTGATTCCATGGCCGCCGGTGTCGAGGCGTCTTATGGTGAGGAAGCTCCTGTGGTTCAGTCCTCACCCAACACTGACACTGTTAAGAATAATGGTAATGTTGATGCTGAAACCAATGTTGAATCTGTGAATACTGGTGATTCGAAATCGGAATTCAAAAAAATGCAAGACATCGTCGACATGTTGTCGAAGCTGAAGTTGAATCCTCTGGCCAAGGAATTCTTTCCTTCTTCTTATCTGAATGATCGTAATCGCGATCAATTGGCTCCCGACAATTTATCTCCAGTTAATAAGCATTTGGGCAGTGATGGGTTCCCCAACAATCGAAGGGTATAATTTCAATTCTCGGTTTCTGAATTTGTATTTTGGCGTATCTTTTGTTGGGTTTGATTCAATTCTTCATTTTGATTGATGGGTTTTCTTTATCTTGTAATTTTTGATGAAAGTGTTGTAGATTGTTTAGTGTTGAGGGGTTTTAATCTGTAAAATTCCCACTTCTATATGTATGTTTTATGCAATCTATCTTGTTGGTTTTACTGAATTGTCATGTGTTTCTGTCGAGGATTAACAGATTTTTCGGTTTCTTGTTTTAAAGATTTTTTTCGTAAATATTATGCTTTTTAAGTGTATTTATGTTAAGTGTGTCTAAATTTTTTTTAAAAAATTACTTAAAATATTAAAAAAAATTATTGAAAAAAAAAATGACAATAAAAAAATAATTTTTTTTAAAAAACATTTTTTAAAAATTAAAACCAAACAAGCTTAATTATTTTTTTATTTGGTTACACAAGCGTCACAAAAGCTTACGTTAGCTGTCCTGTTCCTCCAAATATATATACATCAATAGGCATTATATTTCAGCAATATATATATACATCAATAGGTAGGTATTATCACGACGTATTTCAGCGATAGTAAATATATATATATATATATATATATGTTGTTTGAGGAATGTTCGAGAGCTCCAAATTAAGAGTGCTGAAAGTTTTATTGTGTGTGTGAGTTTTATACGATGTGATGTTTTGATTTTTTTTTTATTTTATTTTTTTGATTTTCCAGCTCCAGTAGAGCTCTAAATTTAAGAGATGTAGTATTATTGTAGGTTGTTTATTATTTTCTAAACACTTACCATAAGAGTAATGTTAGAGATTCTAAATATTCTATCAAAAGTTTTATCAAATGCCTTAGTGGGACCCACACAATGTGGGTCCCATATAGGTCCCACACTTTGGTAAAACTTTTGGTAGAATTTTTAGAACCTCTAACATTTTTGCTTACCATAAATATAGTAAATTTTATTATAAAGTCACTCATCTATTCCATCGTTAAGCGAGATTTTGAAATTCATTAACATATATATTTATGAGTAATGCTAGAGATTCTAAATATTCTATCAAAAATTTTATCAAATGTTTCACATGAGTGTGGGACCCACACAATGTGGGTCCCATGTAGGTCCCACACCCATGTGAGACATTTGGTAAAACTTTTGGTAGAATTTTTGGGGCCTCTAGCATTTTTGTATATTTATTATTTAAACAACATATATATTATGATGTTAATTTTTTTATTATTTATTTTTATTATTAGTTATGTAATGTTTTAAAAAGTTAGTAAAAAGTTAATTTTTTAACTTTTTTTAGTCTATTTTATTTTTTTGTGAGTAAAAATATGAGAAGTAATGTGATTCAAAATGAATAAAAAGTTAAAAGTTAACTTTTTATTTTGTTCCCAAAACACCCATGTTTGGCATCTCTTAAAATATTCAAAAAATCACTATCATACATCACCCTTTTATCACATCACTTCAAATTTAATTCATATTTCATAAAAAAATTTAAAAATACACTTATTTAAAATATCTCAAACCAATATCACATATCCCATCCGCTAATGATAATAAAAAATATTACATAATGGCCTCGTTTGGGAAGTGACTATTTTAGTTTGAAAAATGTTTTGGAACACTAATTAGTGCTCCCACTAATTAGGTGGCAGTGGGTCCCGCCATTAATGATGTGATGTTTTGGTCTTAGAATTGTATTTTTTTATTTTTTTAATGCATTAGTGTGGTGATGTTTTTAGTGGGATGAATCATTGTTGTTTTAGTTTTTGGCTATTTTAGTAGGCTAAAATTTTTGTGTTTGGAAAGATGATTGGATTTTTTTGTGATTGGATGTAATGTTTGTGAGAAAAAAAGTGAAATGATTATGAATTTAATGTAATATTTTGTCTTATTAGCTATTTTAGCCTATATTTTATCTGCTTACAAAATTTATTCAATCCCAGACACTTTCAACTCCCTCATTCCTCTCTCTAGAGACTCTCTTTCTCTCTCTTAAAAAAAAAAAAAAAATTGTAGAGAGATAGAGAGAAGGCCAAAGGCAAAGCCACCTGTTCTTCCTGCATAAACCATCAACAAAAACCAAACACCACCTGTGATCAATTTGAGATAGATAGCTAACCCAAAAACCCTACTTCACTTTCTCTCTCATCCTCGTCTCTCATCTCTCATCTCTCATCTCTATCCCTATTTCCAACCCTTTTCCTCCAATTTGGTTTTGTTATCTCTACCCTTCAATTACATATACATACACAAACAAATAGAAGAATCACTCTTTAAGATCACCCAAATCTCAAAAACCCCAACTTCTTTCTCCTCTCTCTCTATACATATAGAGAGAGAAAAATTGTTGTGTGTGTACTTTTTGTTTGTTTGTTTGTGGGTTTGGTTTGGGTGGTTTTGATTCCATGGCCGCCGGTGTCGAGGCGTCTTATGGTGAGGAAGCTCCTGTGGTTCAGTCCTCACCCAACACTGACACTGTTAAGAATAATGGTAATGTTGATGCTGAAACCAATGTTGAATCTGTGAATACTGGTGATTCGAAATCGGAATTCAAAAAAATGCAAGACATCGTCGACATGTTGTCGAAGCTGAAGTTGAATCCTCTGGCCAAGGAATTCTTTCCTTCTTCTTATCTGAATGATCGTAATCGCGATCAATTGGCTCCCGACAATTTATCTCCAGTTAATAAGCATTTGGGCAGTGATGGGTTCCCCAACAATCGAAGGGTATAATTTCAATTCTCGGTTTCTGAATTTGTATTTTGGCGTATCTTTTGTTGGGTTTGATTCAATTGTTCATTTTGATTGATGGGTTTTCTTTATCTTGTAATTTTTGATGAAAGTGTTGTAGATTGTTTAGTGTTGAGGGGTTTTAATCTGTAAAATTCCCACTTCTATATGTATGTTTTATGCAATCTATCTTGTTGGTTTTACTGAATTGTCATGTGTTTCTGTCGAGGATTAACAGATTTTTCGGTTTCTGTTTTGTTACTTTTAAATTCATGCTTTTTATGCTTTCAATTGTGTATGTGTTGTTCTTTGTCAATCATAGGTTAAAAAGATCGTAACTGAATTTTCTGAATTGACAAGTGTTTGTCTTGGAGAAATGGATTTCGAACATTCAATTTGTCGGGAATTTATTTTTGAAGTTCAATTTGTCGGTTTCACATAAATGTGATTGTATTTTGTACAATTTATCCGATGTAGATCTTTGTTAATCATTGGTCAAAAAGATCATAACTGAGTTTCCGTATTGACATGTGTTTGTGTCATAGAGAAATGGATTTCGAACATTCAATTTGTCGGGAATTTATATTCGAAGTTCAATTTGTCGGTTTCACATAAATGTGGTTGTAATTTGTACAATTTATCTGTTGTAGATCTTTGTTAATCATTGGTTAAAAAGAGCGTAACTGAGTTTCCAAATTGACACATGTTTGTGTCGTAGAGAAATGGATTTCGAACATTCAATTTGTCGGAAATTTATTTTCGAAGTTCAATTTGTTGGTCTCACATAAATGTGGTTGTAATCTGTACAATTTATCCGCTGCAGATCTTTGTTAATCATTGGTTAAAAAGATAGTGACTGAGTTTCTAAATTGACATGTGTTTGTGTCTTAGAGTAATGGATTTCGAAGATTCAATTTGTTGGAAATGTATTTTTGAAGTGCATTTTGTCGGTTTCACATAAATGTTGTTGTAATCCATACAATTTATCCATTGTTGATCTTTGTTAATCCTTTATTAAAATGATAGTAACTGGGTTTCTGAACTGACACATGTTTGTGTCTTAGAGAAATGGATTTTGAACAGTCAGTTTGTCGGAAATTTGTTTTCAAAATTCGATTGTCTGTTTCACATAGATGTGGTTGTAATGTGTACAATTTATCTGCTGTTGTTGTAATTATTAACTAATGTGATTCAAACAATATTTCTGAATCTCCACATGTTTATGATGTGTAGTGGAGTTTCTGAACTTGGACGTGCTTTTTATTGTAGATTGTTGACTTGTGTGGGGTTCTTCTTTTTGTCATGATATTATTTGTGGTATTTTACCATATGTATTTATCCATTTTTGTTGTAATTAATGGTTATTGTCAATGCATGCTGTTTTCAATTGCTTTGCTCTGACTTGCTTGTGTTTGTTTTCTAGATGTATGTGGTTTTGTGATTTTCTTTTTCTTTTTTATTTGTAATACTTGTGGGTTTTACTTTGTATATTTATTGATTATACATTTCAATATTTAGTAGTATGATCTAAATTGAGCTTTTGTTAGTTATGTTAGTTATTTGCTTTGCCATTATAATTTTTTGCTTCAGGGTTTTTAACATATGTTTTTGTCCATCCTTTTTATGTAATTTTTGTTTTTCAATATGTTTCTAAACCATGATGTTGTTGAATATAATTTTTACTCCTTTCTTTTTATTGTGATTTCTTGTTCAACAATAAATTGTTTCTACTAGAAAAGATTGTGAGAGCATTGACTTTTGTATCATCTTGTATGTGTTGTTGTTCATGTGACTTTTTAAAAATTTATTTAATTATTTATTTTGCATATTTGCCAGAGAAGAAACAGTTATAACCAGGGGAGGAGAAAGTTGAATGGCAGGGCTTTTAGAGCTCAAAGAGAAGATAGTATTAGGCGAACGGTGTATGTTTCTGAAATTGATCAAACTGTAAGTAGAAATCAAGCACTACTTTTTTGTGCTTTCTATTGTTAAAAATGCTATTGATTCATATAATCTTGGATAATTTGCATTAACAAAACTCTTTTACCATTTCAAATTAGGTCACTGGAAGAGCGTCTTGCTGCCTTGTTTAGCAATTGTGGACAAGTAAGTTTGCTCACTTGAACTGTAGTTAATTCGTTGTATTAGTTGTTGATAAATGATTTCTTGAGTGCATTTTTGAGGTCAGATCTGGTTGCTTTCAAACTTTTGGCAAGTTAAAGAAACAATGTTTTTACGAGCCTTTCCACTCACCTTAAGTTGACATTCTTAATCTCCATTGCTTGATGCAGACTACATGAATCCATATTTTCTTTTTTCTTTTTTTTTGATAAATTACATGAATCCGTATTGTCAATTGGTTTTTTGTAAAGCCATACCTTCTACTAAATCCAAAGCAAGTAATATCCTTCTTTTGTATGTCTGAGTGCTTAATAGATAGACTTCACACTTGTTGGGCTTCGCCTGAGCAGATTCCAACCCAACCCCTGACATTAAATTTGGGTTGGATCATAAATTTTAACCATAGGGATAGAATATTGTCAGAATCCAACCTTACAAGGGATGTGAATGGGTTTGAAACTCCATTCTTGAGGCAGAGATTGTACTTAAGAGAATGTCCAACCTTGAGTTGGTTTATATGACAAGATTTATAGAAGGTTAAATTACATTAATTACCCTAGAGGTTTGGTTGTATTAAGCATGGTACTTTGTGTTTTTGGGAAGTAAACCAACCTCCCATATTTTGAAAATTGTGTGACAGACACCCCTCTCTTGTTAAATGATCATCAATCAACTAATGATTTTGGCTCTTTGTATTTTTGATTTTTGATTTTAACCTTATGGAATGATTAGCATAAACCTATCATGTTGAAAGAGTATTAATTATTTATAGACCACTCTCTTGTTGACGTGACACTTTTTGAACACATTATCTCCCATCACCATCACCATCACCATCACCATCACCATCCTCTCTTTATGTTGACCCATTTGGCCAAGTGAAAAAATACCCCACCACCACCAACACCTGTCTCTCTCTACCAAACTGACACAAACGACGCAATCACCACCCCCATCATTGGCGTCAGCAGCAGCAGCAGCACCTCCACTCTTTACTAACGTGACCCAAGCCATCCAATAACCACCACCACCACCACCACCACCACCACCAACTCCCCTCTCTCTCTCTCTCTCTATATATATATATACCAACACTTGTTTCTAATTTATTTATTGTTTTGCCAAAAGATATGAAAACCCATCTCTCCATTTAATCTTTCTAAACTGGAAAAGACCCATTATCTCTCTAACTATGTTCTTTTTTCATCAAATTTAAATTTTAAATATAATTTCGTAGTTGGTAAAGGGGTGTTTGTGTGAGTATATACTGCATAGATGGTAATGTTGCTACTTATGGTGTGTAATTATTGAGTTTGAGTCTTTCTAGTTGCTTAGTTATTCATGAATTTGATCATGTTTGGTGGTGAGCTTCTACGGCTGACATTTGGTGGGTTAATGTTGAGTGATAATGCTTGGTAGTGTTTGTGATAATAAGCTTGCATTGAATGATGGCAGTGGTGGTGGTGGAGATGATGTGATGATGATGAATGGGTAGTTTGGATTGGGTAGGTATATATATGTGTATGTTTATTATGGTAGTTAAATTGGGGTTTGAATGGTGAATCAAAGTGGCCTTGTACTGAAGCATGAATCGAATTGAATTGCGAATCATAAAGATTCAATTATCACTTTTGCTAAATGACATAGAAAAATATATCTATACACTAATATATTAAATATATATCGTAATATCAGGGAAGAAGAGGCCCTCTCTAGAAATGATCACAGGGTCTTTTGTATTGTCATAGGCACTAGATAATAGAGATAAAATCATGTCACTGCCTAGGAAGCACGGATACAGATACGGGATACGGATACGATACGATACGGATACGGCGATACGACAAAATTTGAAAAACTAGAATACGGGTACGGCGGAGATACGTTCGTAAAAAATATTATTTTAATAATTTTTAGTAATGCAGTATGCATAAAAATAAAACCTAAAGCAAAAGACAACTTGATGAAGAAGAAAGATTCCTATAAAACTAAGAATCTTCAAGGTCAATAGTTTCAACTTGTTCCCCTTCATCAGTGAATATCACAAGACCTTAGCTAAAGCCAAAAAACCATTCTTAAATAAAAATTTCAGCATATATACTTTTTTAAGTCATCAATGATAGCCTAGGAAGTACGGATACGGATATGGATGTGGATATGGTGATAGGGGATGTGGATATGGCGATATGTTAAAATTTGTAAAATTATGATACGGGTACAGCGGGGGATACATTCGTAAATTTTTTTTTTTTATTTATAATTTTAATAATGTAATATGCATGAAAATAAAACTTAAAGTAAATTAATAAATAAAGAGAGGGATTCCTATTAACTTAAAAGTGCTCAAACATTCATAAAACATCCAAAACTAAAAGTAAAAGCAAACCCATCTCTCCGTTTAATCTCTCTAAACTGGAAAAGACCCATTATCTCTCTAACTATGTTCTTTTTTCATCAAATTTAAATTTTAAATATAATTTCGTAGTTCGGAAAGGGGTGTTTGTGTGAGTATATGCTGCATAGATGGTAATGTTGCTACTTATGGTGTGTAATTATTGAGTTTGAGTCTTTCTAGTTGCTTAGTTATTCATGAATTTGATCATGTTTGGTGGTGAGCTTCTACGGCTGACATTTGGTGGGTTAATGTTGAGTGATAATGCTTGGTAGTGTTTGTGATAATAAGCTTGCATTGAATGATGGCAGTGGTGGTGGTGGAGATGATGTGATGATGATGAATGGGTAGTTTGGATTGGGTAGGTATATATATGTGTATGTTTATTATGGTAGTTAAATTGGGGTTTGAATGGTGAATCAAAGTGGCCTTGTACTGAAGCATGAATCGAATTGAATTGCGAATCATAAAGATTCAATTATCACTTTTGCTAAATTACATAGAAAAATATATCTACACACTAATATATTAAATATATACCGTAATATCAGGGAAGAAGAGGCCTTCTCTAGAAATGATCACAGGGTCTTTTGTATTGTCATAGGCACTAGATAATAGAGATAAAATCATGTCACTGCATTTGGTTTAATTATGCTCAAGACTATATTAGGTTTAATTGTGCTTAAGATTATTATCTTCCTATGAGAATAATATAGTGGAACAAGTGGAGAAGGAAATGGCAATAATTTCGTGACAAGACCAAGGCTATAAAATCCATTCTGTACAGGTCCATTTTAGCAAGAAACCAGTATGCTGAACTATCATTTCCGTTCCGGCCTCTCTCAGATAATTTCGGGAATACCAGGAAAATTTGCCCTTTTTCGGGTCATACTGGCGTTCTGGTTGTGTACTAGTTGCAAATGGGGGAAAAAAAAAAAGAATAGAAAAGAAAAAGAAGAGAAGTTGGATTCTTTTTATAGACCACGAAGGTGAAAGGGTGAAAGGGATTCACATTCTAGGATTCCTTTTTTTTGGGGTTGTGAAGCTTTTCCTGCTGCTCAAGCTCTCAATCTCTGCTGCACAGTCCTTCACGCACAACTCCATCTCTGTCCATCTCTAAACTGCTGGCCAGTGTTGAAAAGCAATGTGATGGATGGATGGTAGAAGCTTTGAGTCTTCAACCAGGTAAGAGAGAGAGAGAAGCTTTCACCATTGGAAGTATACACTTACTGAGCCAGTTTTCTTTTCTACTGAGATGGTGAAAGGTTGACATGACCAATGCAAGATGATATGACAACTTGATGTATTTAAATTTTATATTAAAAAAAATAAAAGGTGAGTTTCATATTTTATTCATTATAGTCATGAAATTAAAAGAATTGTTGAATAACTAAATAATGTTGCATCTTATTTTTTAAATTTTATAAATAAATATAGTATTTTTGATAAATATATATTATATAACGATAAATCCATACAGTATTCGAAAATATACCGATCCCGGTATGTACCATACCAATGACAAAAATGGTACTATAACTGGTATAGTATTAAGAACATTGGACAAGACACACCAAAGCTTACTTTTCTCTGTGTTCCTTGAAAGACTGGTATAAGCAACTGCTTGAAACACACCAAAGCTTACTTTTCTCTGTGTTCCTTGAAAGACTGGTATAAGCAACTGCTTGAATTTTCCAAGTATACCGGTCTTACTTAGACATACCATTATATGTTGATGAGTGTTTGGTGAAACATATTGCTTGTTTAGCCTTTGGAAGTGATTCCTAAAAATGTTGGATGTAGAAGGAAGGTGATGGGGTTCAAGAAAGGAAATGCATGAATACATATTTTAGGTGCAAGAGGCACCAATTGACAACCTAATAATTCTAGGAGATTTTAATTTTAGGACTTGTTTCATATTTTAGGATTTTTTTTTTCTCTTTTATTTTATTTTTAATTTAATTTATTTATTTATTTATTTTTTCTTCTAATTCTAGGTGCCAATTGACAACCTTATTTGGTTATGGAATGTATATATATATGGGATTATGTAAGAAAGATACTCACGTCATGTTTATGAATCTTGATTGAGAGAATTCAGAAACCCTAGTTTACCACTTTGTCTCTTCTGGTTCTACACCGAAAGGTTGTTGTGGCAGAATAGCTACGCTGCTTCTTTGGTGCATGGCATGAATTTTAATTTATCTTGATGAGTAATCAAGCATGTGCAACTTCACAAATTACAATATTCTATCACAATGAGATCATAATTATACAAACATTTTTATATCATAGATCTGTGTTGGCTTAATTGTTGGTTTTGACCTGTGGTGACTGGCTTGGATGCTTTTGGCATGTCTACAACTGTCTAATGGTGATTGGAAGCTTTTTTCGTATGTCATAAAGTTAGACAAGGGAGAGGAATGATAGGTGGAAATGACATGGATAGAATTAGTGAACCAATTGGAATTTCCCATGTCAACTGAGGATTGCTCTGTTAGTGTATAGCATAGTTCTATTGATTGACTGCAATTGATTGGAATCATGAAATGTTGATTGATTGAGGGACGCCAGTGTGATCATGAATTCTATT